GCTGGCTTGCTGCCTGGGCATGGGGGGAGCTTGTGGAAGGAGAGGTGGAGCTCTGGGGTTTGACACTAGTGACCCACCATCTCGTGCTGCTCTGACTGCTGGCAGCGAGGCCTGGGCCAGCCAGCGGCCAGTGCGCTGCTCTGTGGGCACTAGGGACGGCTGGGCCCTGGTGCGTAATTCAAAGGTGATTCCCGGGGCGTCCCAGAAAGTGACAGCATCGCGTTGGCCCTTCCACCCTCCAGCCTGGGACCAGCCTCTTCACTCTGGCCCGGCTCCTCTTGCGAAGGGCGCAGCTTGGCCCCTCATCCTGCTGTTCTCGCACAGGCAGGACTCCCATCAGCTCTGTGGGAAACGTAGCCCGTGCGAGGACTGTGGGGCTGTTTGTACGCTGGGTGGGCTGGCCCGCAGTCTGTGTGCTCCGTGGGCAGGATCCTCTCCGCCCCAGTGCTGCTCCTTGGGGGGTACAGTGCTGGTGCCTGGCTTCCAGCTTTCCTGGAGAGCCCTGGGAAACTGCAGTCTGAGAGCCAGGATCAGGGAGTGTCGGGTGGTGTCATGTGTGGCTGTCATGTCATGTCATTTGCCAGCAGAGCACGCGCCGTAGCCTGTGGTCAGGACGCCTGCTGAGTGGATTTCCCTTCTTGTGCTGGGGATGGGGTGTGGGGCCGAAGGCGAGGGGAGTGTTGGGGTGGAATTCACGGCTGTGGGCAGGGTCTGGTGCCGAGGCGGGGGGGCAGGGGTGACTGAGGACTCTCCCCCAAGCCCTCACTCTCCCACTTCTGCCCCTGGCCTGCATCTCCTTGGCCCGTTAAATCTGTAGCCCCTCTGCCAGGGTGGCCACCGGGGCAGGGAAGGGGGCCTGACATATGCCCCCTGGGAGTCAGAGTGAAGCCCCGTGTGCAGTGCCCCCTTCCCGTCCGTGCCCAAGGACAAAGTGACCCGAGGCCGGCTCTTTGCCGTGACCTGGCTGTGAAAGGCTCTTTCTCCCGGACAGTCCCCTGAGGCGAGGCAAGGCCCTGCCTCCCCAGCGGTACGCACGGTGCCCAGCACAGCTGTCGGGCAATGCCAGCCACGCCTGGGCGCTGGGACGCCATGCGGCGGGGGCCGGCCGTGGCCCGGGCTGGGCTCCCTCCTCCAGGAGCTCAGAGCCTTGTCAGGCCGGAGCGGCAGCATTCCTGGGGGAGGTGTCACGCGCCCGCCCAGGTTGGGCTGGCTTGCGTGCCGCGTTCCCGGCGGTGCTCGCGGCCTGCTGGCGGCTTTGATGTGGAGGCTGCCGCCTGCTCCGGCTCTTGGGGAGGGAGAGGCGCCGGCCTGCAGGGGAACCGCAGGTGCAGCAGGCAGCGCAGCACACCGGGCAGGGAGCCCGGCCTGGGCCCGTTTCCATGCCGACGCCTCTCGCCGCCTTTGGGAGGATGGTCAAGCTGGAGGACCAGCCAAGCAGCCTTGGGCAAGGGCCTGACGGTGCCTGGGACCGGCCCTACAGGGGCCCTGTGAGATCCTGAACGGAAGGGGCTGTAGCAAAGCGCAGGTGCTGTTAGTGGGGTCGACTAGGCATGGGGCAGACCCACCCGTCCTGAGCCCTCCCCCCCCTCAAATCGAGCGGAGACGACAGCCTCCATTGTGACTACGGCTCCCACGACTCTCCTGCGTTCTGGCTGGAAACAGCACCGCTGGGGAACCCCAGGGAAAGCTGATCTGCCCCGATTTCTAGCTCAGCAGGGCAGGCCAGCGGGGAGGGGTAGCTCCAACAGGCCCTGCCCAAGGGTGCTGCGTTATCCTTTCACGCAGCTCTAGCACCACTGCTGGTGGGCTCTCACTGCCCCTCCTGGGCTGCCCCCCACAACGCTTTCCCTGCAGTCGCTCTGGGCTGGCGATCGGCGCGGCTCTGTTCATTTGCAAGCGGTTCCCAGCCGAGCAGGGAGCTGTGGCCTGGAAGAGCCGGACTCGCATTTATTACCCTGCGATCAGCTGCCGGGCAAAGGTGACCCTGAATGGCTCATTAGACCCCTGCCACATTTCACCTGCAGCCCCGGCCCGGGGCTCCCGCGTTCCCACTCCGGATGCCGGTGCGCGGGGATCTTCGCCTCTTCCCCAGAGCACTGCTGAGTGGGGAGGGGCCCTTGCGCTGCTGGGTGAAGGATGAGAGAGGCCCATCCAGGCCTCTGTCCCCGCGTTTGTGCCAAGTGACAGCAGTGATACATGATCCCCGAGCAGCCTGGCTTTGGATCTGTGACCTTCGGGGAAAGTCTCCTTCTCCGCTGCCCCCGGAGTCCTGACCATGCACTGCCTCGGCGTCGCAGGTCAGTTAGCCGATCCCCCTCTTTGGCACTGCTAGGCCCGTATGCGCCTGCGCCGACCCGTGTCTGCGTTGCCTTCCCATTTGGCCCGCGGATTCGGCTGAACTCCGTGTCTGCAGCTTCCCGGGCAGCGGGCCCAGCTGGAACGGCCTTGCTGCGGGGACCATTAAGCCCTTGGCAGCTAGAGGTGCCGCGACGCATTGTCACGCTGAGAGGTAGCGCAGAGCATATCGAGCCTCCGCGGGAGGCGGGGCTGGCACAGAGGGGGAGAGGGCCTTAATGTGGGGCTGTGCCCTCATGATTCACTCTGCAGGCAGGTGCGGCGAGTCACAAGGCCTCTGTGCATTGAGGGACTTGCTGTGGGAGGAGAAGGAGCTGCCAGATGGCTGCTTCCAAGGGCCACAGCCCAGAGGAATCCAGGCCTCGCCTCCGAGCTGCCGAAAGGCAGAGGTGCTTGCGGGGAAAGGCTGGAAGATAGAGCTAAGCCTGCAGCCACCCCTTTGTTAGTGGGGCAGGGTGGGAACAGCAGTCCTCTCCATGCCTGCTGAGTCCGGGGCCTGGAGCGGCCTCTGCGTGGTAGTCACCAGAGAGAACCATAGGTTCTGCCAGCATTCGGCAGCCTCAGCGAGAACTCTCTTTGCATTTCTTAAAGCAGAGGCCTGTTGCTTCTCTACTGTGCCACGGGGGCGTTTGCCATCATGGGGCGTTAGCAGTACTACCCACCACCGGGCCTCGCCTCCCTGCAAGTTGCCAGGCTTTGCAAAGACACGGGCTGCACTGGGCCGCGGAGCCTGCTGATCTCTGCTGCTTGCTCACTGCAGCTTCGTGCCCCACCCTGATGCGTCTCCGGCTGGAAACAGCCCAGGGTAACTCCTGCTGGGTATAGAGTAAGGAGTACACTTTGTGCCTGCTTTTAATTACATGGTTGCACAGGACTGCTGCCTCGTACAGCGCCCAGGATGAAGGGGGCAGCTATTCCTTCTTCCTTTTCATCCTCGTCATTCAGGTGGTCCCAGATCTTACTGCCTGCCCACCATCCGAACCCTGCATTCAATGAAATACTGGGGTGTTAATTTCCTCATAGACTTTTCCATGGTGCTACTGTGGCAGTGACATGCCCAGTGTCACATAGGAACAGGGATAGAATCAAGTTTTCCAGGGTCACATTCAAGCCTTCTCATTACAGGGCTTTCTCTTCTCTTCCTGCCGTTCCCTGCCTCCTTCACTCCTCAGCTTCAATTCCTCCACCAAGCAGGTGTAGCCAGTGCACGGAAAGAGGCCAGGGTCCTGTGGAATCAAGTAGGGGATCATGGAAGGGAAGTCTGTGATCATAATGCATATAGAACAAGGGAGCTGAATGAGCGTGGCACAGACACCCTTAATCTGGCATTTTCTAACATGAGTGCTTGACTTTGCAACAGTAACATTCTTTGAATGGAGTTTTTAGCTGTGATTTCCTACCTCAGAAAAAAGCCCTGAAAACCCAGGAGTGTTTTTGTGTGGATCTACACCGACCCCAAACTTGGTTCATCAGCAGGGTTGGGATCTTCAGATGCATAGCACAGATCTCTACCACTTGAGCTAGTTGAGTAACTGGTCGTGGAAGTAGGTTGTTATCCTCTGGGTCAACCAGTCCCTAGACAGGGAAGAGAGATGCATTTTGCCAGTGGGACTCTCTGCTGTTTGTTGACACCAGAGGAATTTTGGGACTGAGGAATGCTGGATGCTATTCTAGATCCCTGAGGGGAGTGTGTTTTAATGGTTACAGATTTTTCTCATCCTGTCCCTGCTGTTTTTTGCCCCCCTCTTCCCTAAGCTTGTCCTTGCCCTACTTTGCTCCTATCCAGTGGTGAAAGTAACTTAAAATTTCCTATAGGTATGGCAACCCAGGTCCCTGCGGCTCTTTAAATAGATCCCTGCCGGCTTTTGCTGCAGCTCAGCCAGCTCTGCACCCGCTTCTTTTCACCTTTGCCCCTATCTTCATCCATCTGCATTTGTGTCAAGTGACGCCCTCCTTTTTCCTCCATGCTGCCTGGGTGTCAGCAGAAGGCACATTTGGAGCACAGTGAAGTCTCCCTTTCTCGCATAGACCTGGTGCCTGTCACCGCCGTGGCCCCAGCCGTGTGGGGCATCAATTGCCGGGAAAGGCTAGCTCCGTGTCTGCAGCCTAAGGATGAGGCATGCACAGTGCTGGCCACGTTATTGGAGAATTTAGCTGCCAGACAGAGCGTACGCAAAGGCATTTTTAGAGGGCCATAATTCAGCCAAATGTGGGTGGATTTTCCTAGGGAGAGAGCAAATTTCAGGTCCCTGCTTCTAAGCATTGGGGACTTCCCTACCGGTGCAGGTGCCTTAAGCAGCCCAGCATCAGTACCTCCCAAAGT